CACGCGTTCAAAGGTCACAAAGAAAAAAATATTCGGTTAGAATTTGAACCTGGCGAAAAGCCTCGGTGTTTTCCTTGACTCCATGCTTCGCCCTAGTGGTGAGTGGGGGGGAGTGTGCCAACAGTAAGGAGAGTAAGTCCTCGAGTTCTGAACTCATTTATTCATTCAGTAAATCTTTGCTGAGGTCCACTTTGTACCTTGCTTTTAGAAATACAGTAACAGACAAGACAAATATGTCCCTATCAAGGGACAAACAGAAACACAAGAGGCCTAGAGATAAGCAGGGGTTAGACAGGCAAAGAGAGTGTGTGCAGGGGTCCGGGCACAGAGAGTCAAGGGTGCCAGGGGAAAGAAGGCAGAGGAGTGGAATTTTCTCTTCTCAAAACATACTGTGGTCTGGCTGGGTAAGCAGATCTGAAGGTGACGGAAAGCAAGAAAGGGCGTGACCCATTAGGAAGGTTCTACACTAGTCTAGGTGGGTAGTCATGGGCCCCACAGAGTAGTGACAGAGGGGTGTGACATTCAAACATCAAAACCAATGTCTGAGCACTAGCATGTACTTGGTACAATTCTAGGTGCTGGGGATACATCCGTGAACAAGATGAAGTCTGCCTCCATGAAGCTTACACTCTAGTCAGGAAGAAAAGCAAATAGATTCACAAATATGTAATATCAAGCACTGATAAATACCATGGGGAAGAAAGATGGGACAAGTAGTAGTTTGCTGGGGCTGCTATAATGAAGTACCACAGATAGACTGGCTTAAGCAACAGAAATTTATTTCCTCACCGTGCTGGGGTCTAGAAGTCCTTGTAAGATCATGGCATCAGCAGAACTGGTTTCTTCTGAGGCCTCTATCCTTGACTTGTAGATAGCTGCCTTCTCCCTATGTCTGTGGCCTCATTTCCTCTTTTTATAAGGATGCCAGTCATGTTGGCATAGGACCCACCCATATGACCTCATTTACCTTAATTACCTCTGTAAAGGCCCTATCTACAAATACAATCACATCTGAGGTATACTAAGTCCTCACTTAACATAGGTACTTGGAAACTGTAACTCTAAGCAAAATTAAATATAACAAAACCATTTTTTCTCATCAATAACAAAACGACATTGAATTAAAAGATATTGAGGACCAGCCGGGCTCGGTGGTTCAGCCTGTAATCCCGCGCCTTTGGGAGGCTGAGGTGAGTGGATTGCCTGAGCCCGCGGGTTCGAGACCCACCTGGGCAGGCGAGACCTCATCTCTACAATGAAATCAAAAAATTAGCCGGGCATGGTAGCGCACCTGTAATACAGGTAGTAGCCTGTAATTCCGGCTACTCGGAAGGCTGAGGCAGAAGGATCGCCAGAGCCCAGCAGGTCGAGTCTGTGGTGCCCGGTAGCAGCCACTGCACTCCAGTCTGGGCGACAGAGTGAGACTCCAACTCAAAAAAAAAAAAAAAAAAAAAAAAAAGATGTTGAGGACCTACTATTTGTCCTTTCACTTAAGGTCGAAGTTTCCAAGAACCTACTGATGTTAAGTGAGGACTTACTGAACTTGGGATTAGTACTTAAATATCAATTTGGAGGGACACAATTTAGATCACAAGACAAGGTGATATAGTATAAGCCTGGAGGTCGAGGGAAGGAAGGAGTCTGAGGTATTTTACACAGGATAATAGGAAAGGCCTCTCTGAAATGACAAACTGAGATCTGAATAAAGAGAGGAAATGAGCCATGCAATTGCCTTGGAAAAACGTTTCAGTAGAGGAAACAACTTGTGCTCACCCTGAGGTGAGGACTTGGATCAGGGCTACTTGGCATACTCCATCTTCAAGAACAGTAAGAAGGGCTTGGGATGATGGAAAAGGGGAGATGTTGGTCAAATGGTACAATGTTTCAGTTAGAGAGGAGGAATACATTTTAGTGATCTAACACACAGCCTGGTGACCACAGTTAATAATGCACTGTTGTCTTAGTCCATGTTGTGCTGCTATAACAGAATACCACAGACTGGGTAATTTATAAATCTATTTGAAGATTATTCTCTGACAACTCTGGAAGTGGAAAATCCAAGATCAAGGCGTCAGCAGATCTCTCTTCCAAGATGATGCTTTGCTGCTGAATCCTCCAGAGAGGAGAAACGGTTTGTCATTATACAGCAGAAAAGAAAAAGAGAGAGAAGCCATTCCTGCAAGCCCCTTTCATAATAGCATTAATCCATTAATGAGGCCACAGCCTCATGACCAAAAACCCCCCACTAGGCTCCACTTCCCAATACTGTTGCACTGGGGACGGTCAACATGAAATTTGGAGAAACAAAAGCATTTATACCATAGCGACCCTACCCTCAAAATTGCTAAAAGAGTAGATTTTAAGTGTTCTCACCCCAAGAAAAGGATAAGTAAGATGATAGATATGTTAATTAGCATGATTTAATCATTCCATAATGTATATATATATCAAAACACTGCATTGTACACCATAAATGTATACAATTACCATTTGTCAATTAAAATGAACAAAAAGTTTCTATTAAGGAAAAAAAAGAATGGTTGAAATGCAGCCAGAAGATACCACAGGGCCTTAAGGGCCATTATGGTGACTGGCCCTTACTTTGAGATGGGAAACCAGTGGAGAGCTTTGAGAAGGGTAGCATGACCTGACTTTGTTTTCAAAGCAGTACTTGTTGAGAATAGGGATGAGCAGAAACAGGAAAACAAGTTAGCAGGTATTTGCAGGTGAGAGATGACATGGACACTAAGACAGTAGCAATGGAAGTCTTGAGAAACAGTCAACTCAGGCTATAGATACAACCGGATTTACTGATGTGTTAGATGTAGGTCATGGGAAAAAGAGATACGTCAAAGGTAGTTCTTCAGTTCTTAGCCCAAGCAACTGAGTGAATGGTGGTGCCATTTACCCAGATGGGGAAAACCTGTGGAAGGAGTAGATTTGAAAAGCATAGGAAGCAAGAGTGTATTTGGATGATGGGGAGTTTGATGCCTATTATATATCTTAAATATCCAAATAGAGACATTGAGTAGACAGTTGGAAATGAGACCAATTCAGAGGGAAAGGGTGAGGCTGAAGGTATAAATTTAGGAGACATTGTATAAATATTTAAAACTATGAAACTACTTGAGATCACATAGGGGGTGAATACAGGAGAAAAGATAGAGAAAAGACCCAAGGACTAAACCCTGGGACACTCCAACACTTATAGATTAGAAAAAGGGAGATTCAGCAAAAACAAAGAAGTTGAAGAACTGGAAGATAACCAAGAGAGTATTTGTTACAGAAGCCAAATGAAGAAAATATTCCAAAAATGCTGATGAGAAGCTGAGTAAGAAGAATGAAAATGGGCTATTGGATTTACCACACAGAGGTCACTGATGATTTTGACACGGGCTGTTTCCATGGAGTGGTGGAGGGGAATACCTAATCACAGTTGGTTCCAGAGAGAATTGGGAAGGGAGAAATCAGAGACAACTCTTTTGAGGAGTTTTGCTGTGAAGGAGAGAAGAAAAGCAGCATAGTAGTTCCAAGATGTGGAAAAAAACTTAAGATGAGATTCCACAGCATATTTGTATGCTAATTTATATGCTAATGGAAGAAAGAAAAAATCAACAATGCAGAAAAGAGATAATTATAGGAGTCAATGCAAAGTGAGAGGGCTGGCCTTGGATAGCAGCAGGGATGGTTCATTCTTAGTAACAGGAAGGAAGGCCATATGGGCACCAGTGCAAGTAGGTTTGCAGATTTGGTGGTGGGATATGGAAGTTTGCTTCTTACTGCTTTTAATTTCTCAGTGAAATAAGAAATACAGCCATCAGCAGAATAAGGATGGGGGACACAATGAAGATTGAGGATGGAGAGATGTGAATAGATTCAAGAAATTAGCAGGTAATATTGATAAAGCTTAATTTATTAGCCATAGGAAAATGTGAGATGAAGGAAACAAGGACAGATTTCCGGTTTAGCGACTGAGTGGACAGTAGTGGTATCTTTCATTCAGATGGGAAAGCCTATGGGAGGAGAGAGGAGTTTGATTCTGACATGGAAAATGTTGTGCCTATGAGACATCCAAGCGGACGTGAGTGTCCAAAGCTCAGAAGTGAAACCCAAGCTTGAGACATCTCAGCTCCCTGATCTGGGAGTCATCAACATAAAGATGGTGGGAAGCAGAGAGGCTATCATGATTGCTATTTTCTCTGCGAGGTAAAATTAGTGGTTTGAAATTGAAAAAGGTCTGAAACGGATTCTGAGGAAGAATGGGAACACTGATAAGGAAATAGGGAGATCACCCTTGGGGCCCAGTTGAAGGTGAAGCTCCTATGCTTCACCCCCAATCCTACCACTACAGAGCCCTGGAGCCCCCATTTGCTCCTGAAGCTACAGCTACCAAAGGCCCAGTTTCTTATGCTGGGCCCCCATAGCAGGGTTCCACCTCACCACCCAGCAATGTGCCCTGACCTTGAAGCCTATCTTCTTCTTACACATACCATCCTTTCCTCCTTGCTTACATAGGTAACTCCTATTCACCTTTCTCCTCTCAGATCAGGGCAGAAGCTCTCAGAGCTGAAAGTTTCTTTTCTTTATCCAAATAGACCCTCCTCTACCTCATCACAGCATAAAACATACTGCATTGTATCACTGATTTACTTATCTACCTCCCCCACTGGACTGAAACAACTTGAGGGCAGAAACTTTTCACCTTTATAATGACTACTACTTAAGTAAGGGGCTCAATAAATGCTTGTGAAATTAACATAGTAGAAAAGAAATAAAGTCCAAAACCAGCACAATTATACAGGGGTCATGATACTTCCAGCCTGTGACACCTGCAGGTGCTTCTGACCTTAGAAATAGAGAACTATCCATTTGGTCTTAGCATTACATCCCTTTTCTTTTCAGGAGGAGTTCTTAATATACTTACAGGAAGGAAATATCTTTATGTTATATTAAGGTACATTAGCCCTTGCTCCCCAATCTCCCAAACACACGAAGCTGGAGGTATTGTACAAAGTCATTTTATTTAAAAAATTAACACATCCTGCTTGTATAAACTGTCACTCTCCATTTCCAAGTTCCATCACCTGAGCTTGGGAGCAGAGTGTGTGGTATTTTTCTGGGCTTAAGGTGTAAGCTGACATGGCATTCAAGAACTCATCCAGTGGACAGAGCCCACCAGGGCAGCCTCTTGGCACCTGCTCCTGTGAAAGAGACATAATTCAGCAGGTCCACTAAGGACTCTGTCCTTCTGCTGTTTTCAGCTGAGTCCAGAGATCGAAGAGGCTCTGAGCCAAGTGGTATATGTGTGCACAAGTATAATGGCCAGGAAGGCTCTACTACCCAATTAGCTTGCGGTGGGAGGGAAGCACTACTTGGCACTTGTAAAAGGCACTCAAGAAGTGTTTGTTAAATTGACTGCGAAGACACAGTCAACTTACATCCCAGAGATGGGAGAGCCAACGGTGTCATCCCTAGAGTGCTCTGGCCTCTGCCCTAGACATCAGCCCTGATGAAGCAGCCAAGACACAAGGGTGCTGACAGCACACACCACCTCCCAAAGACACCATCAGCTATCTTCAAAACAAGCCTCACAGACAGGATGTCACATCTCAGCAGAGACATTCAGGAGACAAGAGGGGGGAATCTGTTCTAGAAGGAGTCTGTAACAGAATTAGGGGAAGGCCCAAGTCCCACCCTACCACCATATGCCAAGTTCTACCCTACCCAAAGACCATAGCCATGAGTCACCCAATTGGATTCAGAGAGCTGATTGTACCAAGGGAGATTTCACTGGGTTTGACGGGGGAGACTAAACCAGGTGGATAGGGCTTGGGGGAGGGTGCCCTCGCCACCACCCAGTCCCACCTCAGAGGTCTTACCTCCCCGTGGTAATAGAGCTGCACAAACCACTCCTTAGATTTCTGGTGCTGGTAGAGTTCCATGGTCAGGTCAGCAGCAAAGGGGGGCCATTTGTGATCAAAAATCCCCAGGGCCAGTAAAAGAGGCATGAGGGTCACATCATGAGCCGCATAGAGGTACAGTTTTCTGCAAGAAGGAAACAGTTCCCCACAAGTCTTTACCTCAGGATTCTGGAGGACAGGACAACTGCCTGCCTCCTTTGAGTAAGAAATGACACTTGCCTCAGAAAACACTGCACTGAAACAAGTCAAGGACAGAAAGTTTTCACCTTTATAGTGACTACTACTTAGTTAGGGTGCTCAATATGTGTTTGTTAAACTAACTCATTCATGACTGCTTACGTGAATTTACATCATTCCAAATTCTGATCCTGGTTGCTGCTGATGTGAATTACATCTTGGCATATTCTGTTTCTGAATGCTGCAACGTTGTCATATGCATGTTATTATATTTTGCTTGGAAATGAATAGTGAGGCAAGGAGAGAAAGTTAATTGAGATAATGATCAGATACCAATTATACAATGTTGTGATTGATTTACGTAGTTGGTAAAAATTGCAAGTTGGTCATTATTTTGTTGCAATTAGTGTTGTACACTTGTATTTTGATATTTCAGGGCTTTCATACATCAATGTTAAAAATAATTTACCATAACTATGGAAAATGAAGAAATATATGCTGATGAGACTTCAGAGATCAAAGATGAATCCAGTGAACTTCTTAGTGATAGAGAGACAGATAGTGATGTAATGATGCAGTATAAATGAAGAAACATATATATGCAATATATATATATATATATATATATATAATATATATTTGGCTTATAGTCCCAATAAAAATCTAAAGCACAGATGCTAGTCAGAGTGGTATCTGAGGCAAAAACTGGATATGTCTGCAACTTTCAGCTGTATTGTGAAAAAGGTGACAACTTAGAAAAGACCATTTTACTTGTGCTTAACAACAGAAGTTTACAGCAACGAGCTTCAGATTTTTTTTTTATTTTTGCTCTCTCTCAGTATTAAGAAAGTGAAAAATTTGCCGATCGTGAATGTGTTAAGATAGGAGAAGTCCAAAACTAACACAAATCTATAGCTGACATGTAGAAATCAGTGGAATCTGGTATAAAACTCCTTGGAAATAAATGCAGGGGGAGAAGGCTTATTCCTACTCCTCATGTCTTCATGAGGAGGGTCCGCACTGGAGAGACTCTCCTGGCCTCCTCCCCACCCACTCACTCACTCATCCCTGGTGAGTTTCAAAGAAGAAACTGAGCATATGTGGCTTAGGCCCTACCTCTCTTCTCTCTTTGGGTCACCTCCCCCCCACACACACACATCCCCTCCCATTCCATGGCCAATGTTCTTCCTACTCTCAGACATGGGATGAATTTAGAAAGCAAGTTCTGCTTCTTGCTGAGGAAGCTTGCAATTTGGGGAATTAAGTTCATTTTTATAAAATAATAAGAAGTTCATTTGGCACTTAACACATTCGCCAAATGGCTATAATCAGTAATAAAGGTGCCATTTCACTCTACAGCTGCCTGATGCCAGGATCCATTTCTTGGGAAGGAACAAGGATTGTATTTATTGGCCCCCAACCTAGAAGACAAGCATTGGATCCTGTGGTATTCTAAAGATACAAGGTGGAGGGTGGCAAGGTAGCAAAAGCTAGCAAGAAATGTACTATCGTGTACAGGTACTGTGAAGGACAGGGAAGGGCATTCACACGATTTGCTATTATAAATCTTGGTCCTAAGTTTCTGAATGTTTCCATTTCAACTTATTGTCCCTACGCCTCCTACTCTCACCATGAGTTTCTAACTATGTGTAATCTCTTTCTCTCTCAAGAAGGTAGCCTACAGCAATGCTTCTCCAAAACTAGGATGAATATAAATCACCTGGGGAATCTTGTTAAAATGCAGATGCTGATTCAGTAGGTCAGGCTGAGGTCTAAGAATCTAACGAGTTCCTGGGTGATGGTGAAGCTGTTTGTCTGCAGACAACACTTTGCTTAGCAAGTGCCTAGGACGCATAACCAAATCCAAATCCATGATCCCAACTTGGGGGTCCAGGCTACAAAAGTGGCATTGGAAATTCATGAGCCATTTCCAACATTTTAAAATGCTTTATGGGCTGGGTGCATTACCTCACACCTGTAATCCCAGTACCCCTCGGAGGCCATAGCAGGAGGTTCACTTGAGGCCAGGAGTTTGAGACCAGCCTGGGCAACATAGTGCGACCCTGTCTCTACAAATAAAAAATAAATGTAGCTGGATATGATGGCTCATGCCCGTAGTCCTGCTACTGGGATGCTGAGACAGGAAGATCACTTAAGCCCAAGAGTTTGAGGCTACAGTGACCTATGATCACACCACTGCACTCCCACCTGGGTGACGGAGCAAGATCCTATCTCTAAAAAATAAAAATTTAAGCCAGGCTCGGTGGCTCAGTCTGTAATCCCGCGCCTTTGGGAGGCTGAGGTGAGTGGATTGCCTGAGCCCGCGGGTTCAAGACCCGCCTGGGAGCAAGACCTCATCTCTACAATAAATCAAAAAATCAGCCAGGCGTGGTAGCGCATGCCTGTAATTCCGGCTACTCGGAAGGCTGAGGCGGAAGGATCGCCGGAGCCCAGCAGGTCGAGGCTGCGGTGGCCGGAGTGGCCACTGCACTCCAGTCTGGGCAACAGAGTGAGACTCCAACTCAAAAATAAATAAATAAATAAATAAATAATAAAAATTTAAAAGATGCTTTATGGATATCATATCTTCTGTATATTCAGTGAAGGTGTTCAAACTAAATAATCTATTAAGCAATTATCTTTGTTTTGGACTATTATAATATAAAATTAGTGTGGTATCATAATTGACTACTCTGACACATGTTCAATTAGTTAAAATAAAATTGCTGAAATAAAAATTTCAAATCATGGTAGAACAGAAAGAAAGGTAAAAAGATTGTGAGCCTCTACGGTACTCTTGGCCTCTTAAACATCTGCCTTCAGTCACTGATGGCTGGTTCTTGCTTCCCTAAGATGTGGGTTCTTGCCCTGCAACTAGAGCTCCCACACACCTTTAGCTCACAAAGCAGAATTTCTGTGCTAGGTACCTGATCTTATCAGGTGGAGTGGCAGGATCCACGGCTCTTAGCAAGTTGCTCTCCAGGATGTGGAGGAATGGGCCTACTGCCATCTGAAGACTTTCCCTGTGAAAAGTGAACAATATTTAAGCATTCAGCAGGCACTCAGCACTCAGGGGATGTGCTGGTTCCGCCCCCAGGACCTCACGAGCCCAATCAGACAGAGCTGAGAAAAAGGCAAGTAATGCACAAGGGATAGCGAAGGACCAGAACGAGAGAAATGGCATCAGGTCTGGGATCCTCTGTGAACAAAGACCTCTAACAACAAAAGCACCAGGATATGGACCTGCTCTGAACACAACTGAGGTGGGAGGGGCTGGGGGAGCAGAGCATTAGTAACCTGGAGAAGTGATGAAGAACCAGGACTTAAAGAATTAAAAAGTAAAGCTGATAAGGACAGGGGGTAAAGATTTCCAGGAATTCCAGAAGCCCTTAGAAAAACAATCAGAAGAAACAAGAACATCCTAAGTTATGTTTCCTATGTCCCAGTCTTCCTTCTTTTGGACTTTAGACCACAAGGACATTTCATTTATGTCTCATTTATGTGTCTTAAAAAGCTCAGCGGTAGTGTTCCCACGGTTGGCTCTGTGGCGCCATCACTTTATTCTCAGGCTTGTCACATCATGATCACAAGGTGACTGCTGCAACTCAAAGCACATTCACTCACAGTAGTAGAAATGCTTCTCATTTACTGATCCTGGCAACTGATCAGCTTCCATGGAGGCTTCAGGGGCCTGTCTTCTTGTTTTCGTGCTTCTCACTCTTAATCAAAGAAAAAAACATACCTTTCCTAGAATTCCAAGAACCCAGTCACTGACAAAAGGGAACAACATTGCCATGATTGGCTTAGCCTGACCCTTACTCACGGTGACTGGGTAAACTCCCACCTTTATAAATCAAGAAATGTTGCAGCAATGGATACAGAGCAGGCAATCAACACTGTATGCAACCTATACTTTTCAGAAGAACATGTAAGGCAAAGCTGAGTTGGATGGCATAGTGGGGTTATAACCATTTGTCCTTGACAAAATATCAATTTTATGAAACCAGGACTAATTGGAATGGAAAAGACAATAGTTTTTACGCCAGAAGAAAGCAAACTATGTCATGGACCAAATCCAACCTAGCTGATTGTTTTTTATAGATAAAGTTTTATTGGAACACAGCCATGCCTATTTGTCTGCATATTGTCTTTGATTGCTTCAAATTACAAGGGCAGAGATGAGTAGCTACAACAGAAATTGCATGGCCCACACAGCTGAAAATATGTACTAAATATATGTGTGTACATTGATGAAGGGAGGACAGTAAGTAACAACTTAGGTACAGTCAGGCCACTTCATGAACAGAGAAGGGAAGCTGGCAAGTCCCAGGGAGTGGCAGCAAGCTGTGTGACTTGGCTCGAGCCCTCTGGATGCCTTCGACTAATGCATTGCTTACATGGACACATGGACTCTGAGGGGAAGAAATGCAGTCAGGGGCTCTTATTTTGCAACTGACCAAGCAAACTCTTGAAATATTAGATGCATCTTCCCACTACGCGTTTTCTCCAGGACTGTTTCTCCACTTCCCTCTCCCTCCCCTATCAAGTCACCTATTCTGAGTGTAAGCTGAATGCTCATAATCAATCAGAAAAAGATGAATTCTGAAATTTGACAAGAGAGAAACTTTCCATGCTGGCTTGGAAACAGACCTTCTAGAAACAGAACCGTAGGTACTAGGAATGTAGAGAAAACAGAGGCCTGGTGGTCAGCAGATCAGGATCCATGTCTTAGTTCTGCCACTTGCTAGCTGAGCCTAGGCCACGCAGCCAACATCTCTCAGCCCCGGTTTCTTTATCCATAAAGCCAGGGATAATGACACCTATCTCACACAGTGAGAACAAAAAAAATGACTTGTAAATTATGATGTGATGAATAAAGGGAGAAATAATTATTCTTCCTTCAGCTCCCCCCACCCAAATCCCTTAAACCTTAAAGCAAAAGGAAAAAGTGAGAGATCAAGAGAAAGGCAGTAGAGTGGTGGCTCCTGGTTCAGTGTAACAGGGAATGGAAGTACTAGGTCACCAGTCCCAGCTCCAGAAATGTGAAGACCTAAGGCCTATGAGTAGGCTAGCAGGACAGGGTTGTTTCAGCATCCTCACATGCAGAGACACCAGCCAGCAGTTGTGAGTGGGCCTGATGAACTCTTCGTCCCCCCACACCTGGAGGTCTGACAAAGCATGACTTCATGCCAGCGGCAGAGGCCCCTCACCTATCTTCCTTTTGCAGTACATACAGGGCTGTGTCCACAGCTCTCTGTTCAATCATCCGTGTAAATCTCTTCAGTGCAGGGCAGCTTGGGAGGCTGTGTACCTGAAAGAGCCGCAGGTACAGTGTTAGAAAGAAATGCTTCTCACCTATTGATCCTAGCAGCTGATCAGCTTCCATGGGGCCTGGGGAACCCTGTATTCATCCAGGAAGGGTCTTAACAACTCAAAAAGCTATGTCCCTGGGGGCCCTCTGAAGCTATTACTAGAGATCTGAGATCTGAAGGAACAGGAAAAAAATTTTTTTTTCCTTCCTTTTTGATGGATTCCCATCCTCTCCAAAATTGAAAAGATTTGTATTTTTTTTAACTTAAGAAAAAGATGAACAAAATGTAAGGCAGAGAATTCATAAATTTCTACTTGGTCTTCATTTTCTCCAAAATGACTTCTAAAAGCATCCCATGGTCGGGCACAGTGGCTCATGCCTATACTCCTAGAACTCTGGGAGGTGGAGGTAGAAGGATTGCCTGAGCCCAGGAGTTCGAAACCAGCCTGGGCAACTTGGCGAAACCGCTACTTGGCAGGCTGAGGCGGAAGGATCGCCTGAGTCCAGCAGGTTGAGGCTGCGGTGAGCTGTGAATGTGACAAATTATGCTTCTGCCTGGGTGACAGAGTGAGACTATGACTAAAAAAAAAGAAAGTATGCCATATAAACAGTTTATAGAAACACTTGCCATTTAACCATAAGCCTATTTTACACATAAGCACAAGGTGCATTTCTGTCTGTAGAGCACACTGTATTTTTCACAGGAGGAGGGAGAATCCTCTACTGTCTTTGGGGGTCCCACTTTGAATCTAGAGAAGCATTTCCCTTTGTGTAGTCTTCTTTATGTATTTATTACATTAAAAAAGACTCTATGGCTAAATAAGTTTGAGAAAAGCAGACAAATATTAACTAGTTTTGTTTACTATAGGTTTCTCCAATTGTTTTAATATGTCGATATACAGATGGACTTTCCACAAAGTGATACAATAAATAGGGATTCCAAAATTTTTAAACCCTCTCCATTCCTCCCTCCCCATCACCTACCTCACATGTCGGGTGTTCTGGGCAACATGCTTCAAGAAACTCTAATCTAGAGTTCAATGTCTGTGTCCCTAATGGGTGAGGAGTCTGTCTTGATTGCTCTCCAGTCCCTCCATTCCCTTATCTCTTCCATTTGCAGGTCCTATTACTGTTGCCTCCAACTCAAGAGGCCTCTACCCACTTCTCTCTGCTCAATTCTAATTCAGGAGTCAGCCCATCCAGATGCCTATCTCATACTCCCCAAACCCAGGGCCTGGGGAAGATAGTCATCCACCTGCTCAGCAGCCATGTTGTCCAGGAGGATGAGGAAGTCCACTCCATCATTGCTGTTGATGCCCATCCCTTCCTTCACCTTTTTCAAATCCTCTGAGATTCCTGGTTGCAAAGAGGCAGCCTGCCTCCGGCCTCTGTCACAAAATAAAAAGTAATGCCTTATATTATACAGTGATTAACAGTTTACAAAGTGTGCTTCATCCAACATTTGGGATCTCATTTAATCCCCACAACAACCCGCTGGGGTTAGATGGTATTATTCCAATTTTACAGATGAGTAAGCTAAGGCTCTATGAGGTCAAATGACTTGTAAACATAAGTTAGCAAGTACCAATATTACAATGAAAGGCCGGATTTTCCAAATCCCAACCTAGCATTTGTAGCACATCAAAAATGATGCAAGCATGGCCCAGGTCTGTCTGAAAACAGCGTTATTTTTCTTCTATGGAATACATACTATACAGTCTTAGTGCAGCTCAGAACTACTTGAGAACTGGAGTGTCATTGGCTCCAATCTATCCTACACAGCAACATATTGGTAAGAGAAGGAAAGTCTACGTCCTCTGGTGCTTGTATACCTCAATTTACAGGTCAGTGGTGGGCTCAATCATCTTTTATTTAGCCTGTTGGTTTCTCATCTGCCCCATCTGACATCCCAGGGTTGCCAGGAGGATAATGCATTATAAATGGCAAATCCCTACTTGTGGCTGAATATATCATCTCTCTAGCCCAGCATGTGGCTTTTCCCATCTTCCTGTACCTTCACTATGAGCCTGCCACATGAGCAGAGCTTCTTTGCTTCCTGGGCAGCTGATGCCAGGCCTGAGTATAATTTTTTAAATGTATGTATGTATGAATGTATGTATGTAGATGAGGTCTTGCTATGTTCCCCAGGCTGTTCTCAAATTCCTGTGCTCAAGCAATCCTCCCACCTTGGTTTCCCAAAGTGCTGGGATTAGAGGCATAAGCCACCATGCCTGACCCTGAGTATCAGTTAAACCCTCCAATCTCTTATCCATCAGTGTGAAACTTGAGCAGGCCCTCAGTACAGGCAGAGTCCTGCCAGCTAAAGTGGTAAAAATCTGTCCTCCACTGATGAGTAAGAACCCAGGGACAGTTACCTGGTTCTCTGCCTCAGGCTCCAGCAGTTTTGGTAGTTGGGATACAAGACTTCAGAGCTTGCCTCATCAGTGTGGATGACGATGGGTCCTAGAAGGAAGGTAGGAAGCACAGGCAGGAAGAGGTTTCAGCTTGTTCTTCCCTGTATCTCTACCTCTTCTCCTTCTCTTGTCTACAGAGATTGGACTACTCCAAGGGGCAGATCATCAAGGTTACTCCTTAAGTACAGTACAATTAAGTACAGTACATGCCTTCAATATGCCCTGGCTCTGCCAGCAGGCACTTTCCTGTCATCTGAGCAATGGAAAAAGCAAGTAACAGCCTGTTCTGTTTAGCACAAACCCTCCTACTGAGCCACAAATAGCCTATAGCAGGTGCCTGGATCAGACTGGCACTTCCCTGACCCCTTCCAAAAAGATCCCTACCTTGGACATTCTAATAAAAAATGACTTTATCAGAACTAGGTTACTTTCTTGCTTCCTCAAGTCCAATCATACAGGCCCGTATGGTGACTTATCACATGACAAACTAAGAAAAGTGGCCACGAGGCTACAATTCCTCTCAGACCCCATAGCCTTACCCAAATAAAAGTGAGACTCCTAAATGAATTGCCGGCCTAATCATAGATCTAACAAAAGAAACTGCAAACAATATTTCTTACATACCTCACAGTAGCTCACTGCTGCTCAGAGCTCCTCAGTACCCTTATCCCCTTCCCATCAATGCCCAAAGAAGGTGTTCTAACACCTTCCTGTGCTTTGCTCTGTGCCAGAGATGGCAAGTGCCTGTGGCAGGTTCTCTTTCCACACCATTCAAGCCTGATGGTGAAAGAAGTAGCACCCATCAGCAGCAGTTTGGAATTCACAAAGGTCACTCCACAGAGTGATTAGGTGAATCAAAGTCCCAAAGAGCTATTTATTCCCAAATTATTGACAGTCAGAACCCAGGACTTCAAAAGTAGCCTATGGTAACTGCACTGGAATATTCAGACATACTTCACTAGTCTGGACAGAAGAAGATACCAGACTGAAAGTCATAAGAGTTTAGTCCTCAATCCACAACTAACCAACAGGATCGTCTTAGAAGGTCACTGCTGTTATCTGGGGCTCATCAGTAAATCAAGGGGTGGGACTATAGCAGCAGTTTTCAATTGTTTCTAAAGCAGTTAAACCTCCCCATTCTGCTATTATATAAAGTAATAAAAGAAAATGTGATGATGGCTGCAAGGTGGGGGTCCAAAGTGTTGTGTACTCTTATGTCCCACCTGCCTCCCTTCCTGTAGTTCCTGAGCCCCCCTGAAGAATCCTGGGGCTCTGCAGGTCACGTGAAAAGAACGCCAAGTGATCAGAGGCCCTCTTCAGATATCCACATCCTCAGAGAAGCAGTCGAACACAAAAGTAAAGAGTATGGATTCTGAAACCAGACTCCCAGAGTCTGAATCCCAGTTCTACCATTGACCAGTTTGTATCCCTGGGCAAGTCATTTAGTCTTTCTGTTTCTTAGTTCTCTTATCTATAAAAGGGGACAGTGGTACCTGCCTAATAGGGTTATTTTATGAATTCAACAGGTTAATATACACAAAGTTAATTTTTAAAGAAAATTTTAGAGGCAGGGTTTTTCTTTCACCCAGGTGGAGTGCAATGGTGTGATCATAGCTCCAAATCCTGGCCTCAAGAGATCCTTCCAACTTGGCCTCCCAAAGCAATGGGACTATAGGCCTGAGCTACCGCACCCAGTCAATATAGGCAAAGTTCTTAGAACAATGTTTGATGCATACAGTTGACTCTCTGTATCCTCAGGTTCTTCTTCCATGGATTCCACCAACCAATTCTGGATCAAAAATATTTGAGGGAAAAAATAAAAATAACAAAATAACAATAAAAATAATATAAACCAGCCAGGATCGGTGGCTCAGCCTGTAATCCCGCGCCTTTGGGAGGCTGAGGTGAGTGGATTGCCTGAGCCCGCAGGTTCAAGACCCACCTGGGCAACTTGGCGAGACCTCATCTCTACAATAAATAAAAAACGAGCCGGGCGTGGTAGCGCGCGCCTGTAGTTCCAGCTACTTGGAAGGCTGAGTAGGAAGGATCACTGGAGCCCAGCAGGTCGAGGCTGCAGTGGCCGGGAGCGGCCACTGCCCTCCAGTCTGGGTGACAGAGTGAGACTCCAACTCAAAAAATAATAATAATAATATAAACCAAAATGCAGCATAATACATAGTATTTACATTTACCAGGTATTATAAATATACATAATCTAAAGATTATGCACAGGTGGATATGCATAGGTTATATGCAAAAGTATGTCATTTTACATAAGGGACTTGAACATCTGCAGATTTTGGTATCTGAAGGGAGGGGAGAGTAAAGAGTATCCTGGAACCAACTCCCCTCAGATACTGAGGAATGACTACTGTACTAGGTCCTTCCAGTGTTACAATATAAATAACTATGACCTAAACCTCTAATATTGCCATCTAGATTCTGGATATTGGATCTACAGTTTATGATAAATAAGGCACACTTGAGTCGACACTTGCATATATGTTGAATGAATGACTGACCAAATGGCACAAGCCAACAATCTCTAGCTTCCCCCACAGCCTGAGTCTCTATAGCTTCTATAGACATAACCGTCTAAGCGGTGTCCCAAAGTTGTACCACTTCTGGGATTCTTTGGTCTATTCATGTCCCTTCATACTGGGAAAGGTATGGAAATAGCCAGGACAGAAATCAAATTGGAGTCCCAGTACCTGTGGGTCCAGTGCAGGGAGCTGTCACCCAGATGGCCACACTCAAGGCCAGTGATTTCCTTCCCCCTGGGTTTATACTGGGGCATCCTCAGTCTGGGGTCTGTAGATAATGCTGCTAACAACAAACATCTTTCCTTCTCAGTCCTGCTTTTGATGTTCTTGAGAAGAGGACATTTGCCTTTTAGGAGCTAAGCAAGTGAGAACTTTCAGAAGATCAGGCATTGTGGAGTATTCCTAAACTCAAGGGCTCTCAGGAAGCAAGGGGCAGCCCATCTTGTTGCTTTCTGTTACCTAGATACATGCTATTTGTGTTCCACAGCCAACCTCAGCCAGAATCAGCAGCAGTACACAACCCAGCTGGGGGCAAGACCAGCTTCCTCTTGCCTGAAGGTTCCATTACTTTACATATCTCTTAAAAGTTTGATGAACATTTTGTTTCTATCTGAGCTACTGCTAAAGAAGCCAAACAAAATAACAAGAACCTTTACCTTATAGCACCATTTTAGTGAGGCCATGAAGCTCTGAAACTCAGACCGGTGATTAAATGTAAATTTGAATCAATTACAAATGACAAAATGCAGCCTCGTTTGATGGCCAAAGGCCCTCAATACATAAAATCCATGTGGTAAAATAATTAATGCAGTCCTTGGGAGTGAAAAGGTTGGGAACCATTGACCACAATCATTCACTAGCTGAATATGTCAAAACCCAAACTCAATAGACTTTCTCAACTAGGAAAGGCTGGACAGAATACTGTTCATGCTATGGATTATCATCAAGATCTGAGTAGTAGCAGAAGTTTTGGGTCCTAGCTAAGTGTCCCTCCTGCCCTCCATCCTTTCCAGCAGTGTCTCAACTAAGCAAAAAGCCCCCTGTTGTTCACAAGATCTGGTTAGGACCACCTTGTACAGCTCATGTTGCAGCTTGAGAAGTGCAGTCAGGCACCAGAGGCATTGCTGATGCATTGCTGCTGGTGAGGAAGTCAGGCTGGCAAGGGCAGCATAAGGCTGGACAGGGGAGGGCCCACTGGAATAGGTTCGCCATGGAAGTCATGTGTGCGGAAGGATAAAGATCAAAGGAACCAGGAAAGTGAGAGGGGTTTTGGATGTGAGAAGAGTTCCTCAGAGATAAGAGCTTACTTCTACACCCCAAACACAAACCTTCTTTCTGACGCTGGAAAAGTCCAGCCAGCAAACAACGGGTAGACTCCAGATTCCGATACATGTTAGTGGAACGAACACTAAAAAAAAAAAAAAAAAAATTAAGAGCTAGAGACAATCAGAAAAGGAATAATTAATTATATACACTCTACCTTATTTCACAGAGCAACTGGGAGTCTTTCAAGACTACATAAGGGGAGGTATGGGACTAGGAAGAATGCTTTACCTTTCTGTAGGATGGCTGCCCCCGAGGGACTTGAAGGCCAATGAAGGTGGCCTTCAGGGACCATCTGTTCACAGGATCCTGTGATAGAAGGGTAACTGCATCATGACAGGTTGTCCCCCACACTACTTTGGATAAGAGTGGGAACCGACTTGGGGGTCAGGACCGTGGCAGGATTTTATAGAGAGAATCAGGACACAGAGGCCAGGAAGCAGTTTTATTCGTGCTGGAACTGGCTCAGCGGATTCACATCCAAAGGCAGCATTGTCTGAACCCCAAGCGCAGCAGGGCATTGTCTTTTATACAATTTTAGCTTCTTTGTCCCCCCAATAAGGCTTACATATTTGTAACATACAGGCTAATTGGGTATTTCACAGCTAAAGTTTACAGCAGAGTTACACATGCGCACTACAGATTGGAGTTACATTCCTTTTTAACATGAATCTTCCAAGAAAGTTCTTATCTTATGGTGCTAGAAGAACTCTTTCATTTTTCTGGGAAGGCTTTTATCTTACTGTACTAAGCAGGCCCCTACTCTGTCCTGGGAAGGCCTTCATCTTATTAGGCCTGGGGGAAGGGCTCCCAGCCTCAAGGACACGTTTCCTCGTGTTCAAGACCAGACCTTAAATTGGGTGCAACACCCCTTTTTCAAGTCACTCACAAGACCTCCTGTGGGTTGAAGGTTGGTGAAAGAAAAGGGATGTCTTCCACATAATTCTTCCTTAGCCTCTCTCCTAGGGCAAACATCTGCTGCATGCCCACCTTGGTCAGCTGCCCAGCAAATATGCCTCCCTAAAGTGGGAAAGAAAGAGAGGGAAGAATAAAAACAGCCTGCTGAACTCAGCCCAGAGAAAACCATGGAAGCGTTGCAGTGGGCTCCCCAGAGCAAGGACTCATTGCTCACCTTCAGGGTGGTCTCCTGGTATTGAGAGTCGTAAGGAGAATATGGCTTCGGGCCACCAGCTAGATTGGTGACAGTGTATTCAAACTGAGTTTGGGGTGGGACCTCTAATAGCTGAGGGTTCCATTCTACCTGTTGTGACCACAAAAAACAATACATTGTTTTAAAAGCTTCTTGAAACTTACCGTATTCGCAGAAAACAGCACTCAGAGAACACGTCTGGAATTGCTGACACTAGGCCTGCAAACTTCCCATGGGAAGGAAGGAAAGAAACTAACTCTAGCTCCAATTAAGGGAAGACAGGATGGTTATTTATTCTTCCAGGTGTCCTTAGCTCAAATTTTGTTATTGCTACCCTAGTAATCACTGTTAAGCGACTGCTCTGGCACTAAGCCCACACAGAAGTAAGAGGAAGAAGTGGCCAGAATGCCTGGCATTCAAATAATTGGTGAATGAATGAATGAATGAGTGGATGAATGAAATATCTCAAATGGCCATATGTTTGGAAGAATGTCCAAAGAATCAATCTGTAGGTTTCTAAGACCTGACCGGTCGCCCCTCCCCTACCACTTCTACTTAATGCCTCTTGTAACTGCCACGTATCCCTTCTCTTTCATCCAATTTCTGAAACAAGCAGTGCCATCTAAGACTTTGCTTCTCCATGGTCTTTCTTTACTCCTTGCAGTCTAGCTCCTGACCCAACTCTACTGCAATGGTTTTAAAACATTACAAGCGACCACAGGGATCATAGGTCCAACTGTCCATAAAACTCTTACACACTCACTTAGTTAATATGTGAGGACTTCAATTTTTAAAAATAAGTCTTTCCTTCTAATCCAGTATACCAGCTCCTCCTCCCCACCTACTGTGTCTCTCTCAATCCCACCACAGTTCTCCAAGGCCCCAAAACTCAGACCTCTAGCTTTCTCGTGCCTCACCCCACCAAGCCCTGCTGATCACTGGCTAGAAAAAAAGTCATGCCCAATGGTCCCTTCATGAACATACTAGACTGTAAACCTTATGACTGCAAGCAAGAGCCTGCAGCAGACTCCTCCCTTCCACACCCACAGTCCATACAGATGGAACCACCTAATTAATCTTTCTGAAAAAATCATTTTTCATTGCATCTAAAAATTTTATTTTAATAGACAAATAATTATTGTACTTTTTATATTTATGGGGTACAATGTGATGTTTTGATAGGTGCTTACACTGTGGAATGATTAATGTAATTAACAAATCCATAGCCTCACATACTTATGCTTATGTGGTAAAAATATTTAAAATCAATCTTTTAGTGATATAGGCATACATCATTTCTTTAAAAATTATTTATTTATTTTTTGAGTTGGAGTCTCACTCTGTTGCCCAGGCTAGAGTGCAGTGGCACACTCACGGCTACCCCAGATTTGACCTGCTGGGCTCTGGCAATCCTTCCACCTCAGCCTTCCAAGTAGCTGGAACTACAGGTGTGCACTCCCTCACCTGGCTAATTTTATTTATTTTTTTATTGTAGAGACAAAGTATCGCCAAGTTGCCCAGGCTGGTCTCGAACCTGTGGGATCAGGCAATCTACTTGCCTTGGCCTCCCAAAGTGCTGGGATTACAGGCTGACCCACTGAGCCTGGCCGGCATACATCATTTTATTGCACTTTGCTTTACTGTGCTTTGCAGGTATTGTGTTTTTTACAAATTGAAGGTTTTGGCAACCTGAACAAGTCTACTGGCCCCATTTTTCCAACCGCATGTGCTCACTTTGTGTCTCTGTGTCACATTTTGGTAGTTCTTTTAATATATACTTCAAATGTTTTCATTCACATTATCTGCTATGGATAATGTGAACGAAATGTGATCTAGGATCAGTGATCTTTGATGCTAGTATTGTAATTGTTTTGAAGCACCACACACTGTGCCCATATAAGGTGGCAAACTTAATCCGTAAATGTCTGTGTTCTGACTGCTCTACTGACTAATCATTTGCCCGTTTCTCTCCCTTTCCTCAGGCATTCTTCTTCCCTGAGACTCAACTATATGGAAATTAAGCCAGTGAGTCTAACCCTACCATGGCCTCCAAGTGTTCAAGTGAGAGGAAGAGTCAGATGTCTCTTACTTTAAATCAAAAGCTAGAAATGGGAAGAGGCCAAAATGTCAACATTAATAGACATTTGGGAGAAGTAAATTCCACTCCTCATGGATGACTTTGAGGGGTTTAAGGCTTCAGTGGAGGAATTAACTGCAGATATGGTAGAAATAGTAAGAGAATAGCAGTGGAGCCTGAAGCTGTGACTGAATTGCTGCAATTTCGTGATAAAATGTGAATGGATGAGGGGCTGCTTCTTATGGATGAGCAAAGAAAGTGATTTCTGGAGATGAAATCTACTCCTGGTGAAGATGCTGTGAATACTGTTGAAATGACCACAAAGGAGTTTGAATACTTCATAAACTTAGTTGATAAAGCAGTGGCAGGATTTGGGAGGATTGACTCCAATTTTGAAAGAAGTTCTGCTGTGGGTAAAATGCTATCAAATAGCATTGCATGCTACAGAGAAATTTTTCAGGAAAGGGCAAAATTAATCGATGTGGCAAATTTCATTGTTCTCTTATTTTAAGAAATTGCCACAGCCATCCCATTCTTCAGCAACCACCACCTTGGTCAGTTCGCAGTCATCAACATCAAGGCAAGACCTTCTATCAGCAAAATGATGATGACTTTCTGAAGGCTCAGATGATCATTAGGATATTTTAGTAATAAAGTATTTTTTAATTAGAATAGGTATATTTTTCAGACATAATGGTATCCCATACTTCATAGACCGCAGTATAGTATAAATGTAATTTTTATATGTACTGGGAAGCTAAAAAATGTGTGTGACTCACCTTATTGTGATATTTGCTGTATTGTGATGATCTAGGGTTGAACATGCAATATCTCAGAGGTAGGCTTGTATGTGTGAAATCTAAAAATGTTGAACTCAAAGAAGTAGAAAATAGAATGGTAGTTACCAGAGGCTAGAAGAGGGAGATCAGTGGGGAAAGGAGAGATATTTATCAAAGGGTACAAAATGTCAATTAGACAGGAAGAGTAAGCGTTAGTGATCTATTGCACAGAATCTATTGCACAGTGACTACAATAAATATTTCTCTTTTTTCTTTTTTAAGAGATGGGATCTTTCTTTGTTGTCCAGGCCGGTCTCAAGCCCACAGCTTCAAGTGATCCTCTTACCTTGGCCTCCCAAAATACTAGGATTACATGTATGAGCCACCATGCCTGGCACACATTGTATATTTCAATGTCACCTAGTTAATCTTGCTAAGCCACTTGAATCATATCAATGGCTTCTTTTTCTAAGGCAAGTATCTGGACTTCAAAAACTTCTACACCTTGGCTGGCCCCATATCCAGCTACACTGCCTTTCTTCTCTCTCCCAACCTAGATCCTGCCCACTGCTTACTCTGTATCTTCTTTCATCTTGTTTCCCTTGCATGAAAGGGTTTCTGTTCCTATCTGCCCACCTACCTTCTCTTTAATGTTCAAGAATAACTTAAGTCTTACTTTATCATCAGCAGTAACCACTCAATCTTTCAGTAGTTGTCTTCTTAATCTGATTTCCTACAACAATTACAATCAAAAGAACAATATTTAACTCTAGTCCCTACCACTTTGTTTTGATTTAAAATTAACATTTGAAAACCCACTATGTCACATATCATATTTATCTTCCCCTCCCAGAACTATCCAAGGAGAGTACTCCTGGGAGTCTTAGATTCTCTCTGCACAGAGGAAGTCATGCATTCTTCCAACAGGCATTGTTTCAGTCCCACCAGCTCCCAGTCTCCAGTGCCTGAGCCTCTTTTCCACTGGTGCTGCCCCAGCTGATTTCAGAAGACCAGGTGTTCAGAGAGACCTTCTTCCTTCTCCAGTTAGTCATTGCTCCCTCTTTCTGATCTTCTAACTCCCCTGGAGAAAAGCCCTCCAAGGGCTCATGGCCGCACGCTGGTCTCACCTCCTCTCTCACAGCCCTCTCACTTCTTCCCTGCCCTACATACTTACTCTCCAGTCACACAACTTTGTTTCCTTTAGCACTATTTTCATACCTGATGGTCTTCCAACATCATGCTTCTTGTGGCTGGAATTGTCTTTCTCCTTTCATCTGGAAAGACACTTGTTCATTCTATAAGACTCAACTTAAGTGTTCCCAGAAGTCTTGACCATGGTCCTGTGCTTTTACAACAGCCTCAGCCTCTACCAAAGCAAATTAGAAGAACTTCTTTACTGACCTGACCTGCTCAGTAGACTTGGCTTCTGGAGAACAGAGATTGGGTCATTCACTGACCTCTGTATTCTAGATGCCCAGCACAAGTATTCTAGGGCCTCGCACAAGTATTAGTTCTGACAATTTGCCGGGCCCTGTGGAAGATGCCAACCTGAGACAAATTGACCCTGCATTTTCTGGGTTTTCAGGCTAGCAGAAAAAGCAAGTTATGAATGTAAATTGTAGCAATTCCATAAAAGAAACAGATACTCGCTGCAAGAAATCAAATGAAAGCCATCATAGTTCAAAGGCAAGGCAGACCTTCTCTTCTGGCTGGGGATTCAGGAGAAGTTTCATGGAAAGAATGGCATTTTAAATGAATAATCTTGAGGTAAGCAAAGACCTGGACTTGTAAGACACAGCATTCAGAGTTTCAAGAATAACCAAAAAATGCAATTTGTGACCTGTGTTAATGATTTAGTATAAAATGGGGAAACTAAATTAAAATATTTATCTTTTTTTTTTTTAAAGAATAACCAGAAAGCTTGAGCAAAGTAGAGATGGTGAAGAATGTGTATGACAAAGGAGTAGTTTGGTTTCCCTCAACCCAGGAATGTTTTTCAAACTTTTAAATTAGCAAATACCAAGTAAAGTTTAACTTTAGATTTGCATATATAAAGGCAAAAACTAGAATTTCTCTTGAAGTAGGAGTGAGAACTCAAAGCCCCAGCCACTCAGCTTCCCTCTAGCCCAGGGGCTCCACAGAATAGTTTGAAAGCGGAAGTATATATCACAATTGGAACAAGAAGACTAAATGCAGAAAAGTCCATCTGAAAATGTCAGCAATAGTCTATCTACATGAGAGCCTAACATGCCCTCTAAGGCTATAGGAATAAAAGGTAGATACAAGGCATCTGAGTTAGTCTTGGCAAATGAGTAGATAAAAACTTTATTTGGGGGCCGTGTTGGTAGGTAAATCAGGAAGAATAAATAAAAAATAACTCTGATTTTGAGCCTAGTAAGAAAGGTACTCCTTGACTAAAACTAAGATGGAAGACCAGGTAGAAAGTTGAGTTCAGTTTGAGATGTTTTAAGTTTGAGACACTTTCTGTGTGTTTTCAGTGCTCCCAGCATATTCCCATAATGGAAATCTGTTGTGTCTCTCTCTTTCACCACATAGTAAATTCCTTTAAAGCTGAAGCTGAATTATCCATCCTTGTAAATCCAATGTCCAGCATGGGACCTAGACACTGGACACATAGGTCCACAGGGACATTCGGCCCCATTAAGAAATCTCCTGTTAGGCACATTTACTAACAGAGGGCCTTTGGTGTTCCTCAGAGACAACTACCTGAAGTCCAGGTCATTTCCGGTCTACAATATACGTTTTCAAATTTTCAAGGATGGAAGATACATCAGTTTCACATATGGTGTCTACCACACATACAAACTCTCATTCTCATTCCTGCTTTTCAGCTTCCCAGTTAGCAGCAAAGGCTAACTTAATAATTTTACCTGTTTTATTTATGCCCCATCTTCAAGAAGTAACAAAGTAGATGACAGCTATACCTAAAGTATAGTAAGAAACCAATTCAAAGTAGACAAGAAAGACAAAAGCAAACATGCAGGAACAAAAAAAAAGAACACAATAGTAAGGTTATTAAAAAATGCACACCATGAAGATCCACATACTTATCATAGGTGAGCCACAGATTTGGCATTAAGCTTTCTGCTTTTATAGAAAAGGAGAAACTTGATCAGCTAGACAAGTGTAAAGACAAAAGCAAGCCAACTGTTCAGGAGAAGCACACCATTTCTAATGCTAACAGACAAATTCCTCCCAAGGGTCCTCATAAAGAGGATGGAGTAATACAATGAACATCTTTTCAGTATTCACAGCAATGAGTTCTGCGGGATTGTTTCTCCTGGTTCTCTCAACATAGAATGATAGTATCTTAACAAAGCACATTTCAGTGAAGGCAATTCTACATTGGGACTGATATGCTATCCTCCAGGAAAAGACAAAATTTACATAAAAGTAAACAAAACCCTTCCAGGTATAGTTGTAGATTTTAGAATAAAGCAAAGTTACTAAACGTTGGTTGTATACTGGCATCACTAGACATTTTTAAAAAGTTACTGGGCTAATAATATCTGGATCTACCTGGGGTGGGGCCTCTACTTTTTTAATGTTATCCACTCCAGATAATTCTAAAGCTTCACCAGAGAAGCTTGTACAATGTCTGAATACCCCAGATCAATTAAATCAGAATCTCTGGGGGGGAGACTCAGGCATTGGTATTTTTTAAAGGTTCCCATTGAATTCAATGTTCCACCCAGGTTAAGAACCATGGATCCAGAAGAATACATGGACTGACTGGCACACCCCTCACGCAAACTTCTTGAATACCACTTCTCTCAGCTGAACACTGGAAAGGTATTAAACAACAAAAGTACTGACATTATGCTTCTCGGCTTGTCTATGTTGTCAAATAAATGAGGACCCAGATGCCTTAGTTAACAGAGAAGCTGGGGTAGGTTGGACTTTATTTTATAAAAACTGAGGAACATGCCTGGGTGGAGGCCATCTTGCCACTGTCCAGAGGGGAGTTGGGGAAAACCTGAAAGCAGGGCCAGAGCTTTTCTTCTGAAAGTACACTTGGATATACTCTAACGATCAGAAAAAATGGCCAACCAAGTTCCACAATTTTATTTCTGAAGTAGAGATGCAATCTTTCAGCAAGACTGCTTAAACCAATGACTATTCAAGCCCTAAGAATGAAACACCTCGTTTTAAATAATGCTACTTTCTGAGGATTTGTGAGATAACTGAATGAAGTGACTTGTCACATATGTTTGTCTATAAATCAGTCAGAAATTTAAAAAAGAGGTACCAAAAGCAATTCTAGTTTTAGAATTGTTGCTAGGCAGGACTCTTCTGACTATAATTAGTAGCAGAACCAGGAAGTTAAGAAAATCCCATAACAACCTCTATCAAATTGCATCTTGAAAAGAAAGCCTCAGGGAGAACATCCAGATATGAGTTATAAGAGGCTGATGACATTTGCTCATAGCTTACACTGAAAGAAAGTTGGTTCCACTTCTGGCATTTATGCACAAGACTTTATACTAAATAACCAAAGATATTTAAAGCATCTGCCTAAAGTCTGGAGAATACGAGCAGACAGGAGAGGTAATATGCCTTTTCTAATTGCAAAGCCAGGCCATGGATTCAGATGCTCCCTATTCTGTGGCTACCCAGATTGAAGATGAATGAAGCTGGTGTTCTAAGCTACAATGGTCCCTTCCACCAAAACCACAGACTATATCCTTCACACACTCACTGGCTCAGGAGCAAGCCCTAGAAGAATCTAAATATTTTTCCAGGGCCTTAAGGGAATATATACGCTGTACATGTCCATAGATCAGGTTAGCTGTAGGTCCAGGAATAGACATTCAAAGTTTTATTCTCCACCACCAATGATATCTTTGCCTTTAACATGAATATACATTCCTATATATTATTCTTCAGATCCTATGTAACAAGAATAAATACACAAGAATTGGGGTCCAGGGGACTTGTGTATGAGATAGGCTACATTTATACAAAATCGTAAGGAAAATGTAGCGATCTAATGTAAAAAGGCAAAGTAAGGATCAAAGAAACAAAAGAAAAGAAATTTCAAGACTAGATATCAGGTGGCATAGCCATATAAAGGTTAACTAGAAACCTGGTAATAGAATTAAATCTATCAAAAGGTATTTGTTTATTTGGGAAATGTTTTAGAGGTTTGATTTTAAAAATGGGTTTTCGGTTTTTCAATGTCACAACCCAGAGGAAAGCAACTGTGATCATGAAGAGTATACCTGATATCAGGTTTGGACAATGTGGCCCATCTGCTCCATTATCAACTTGGAAGACCCATGATTCAAAAGCACTTCATAGGTAAGTGGCACACCTGGAAGCTTGAGAATTTCATTTTCCTATTCCTCTTCACTAGGTCTTCCCATTATGAAAGGTCACATTCAGGGAGGATAATCATTAAAAAAAAAAAATCATTTGCGCTTTAGTTATAACTATCCAAACCAATCCAGACCAATTCTAAGACTTATAGCCACAGACTAGTTAATTTTTAATTTTTTCCTACCTCAAATTCCTTCCACTATAGGTTTACAAGTCTGACAAAGAAAAGGAGAATCCCAAGATACAGCACTGGTTACAAAGAGCATTCAAGAGATCTCCAGCAAACCCCGAGAAAAAGCTGTTGCAAAATTTGTTTCCAAAGGCATCCACCTCTTACCCACTGTGATCCCAATTAGGGTGTTTCCCGTCACCCGGATCCCCACAACTCTGACAAACAACCTTCAAAACAGTCACACAGAAGGGCACCGTACCCTTGTACTAAAGTTCGCTCAGATACTTGTTAGAAATGCTGACTCTCTGGCACCACCCCACGCCTGCCGAATCAGAACCTGCAGTTTAACAAGATTCCCAGGCGATTCCCATGGCCTTTAAGAAGTGCAGCATTGCTGGCTGCACCACTGGGACGAAGCTGTTCCGGGACTATCCGACACCCGACAGGTCGGGGCAGCGTGGGGAGCCAGGGTGGGAGGGTGTCAGGCCAGCAGCTTTGCTCAGGAGCCCGGGGAGGAGCTGGCTACTGCTGTTTCCCCTTTGTCTGTACCCAGTCCGAGCGCCGCTCCACGAGGATAAAGCCCCGAAGGTGTGTCCGGGCGAGGCACCCGGTCCTCGCCCCACCAGCCCCGGCCCGGGCCGACCTCTCACCTGCTCCTCCAGCGGGAGCGGCTTGAGAGGACTCCGCGCCCCGTGTCGAAACACGACCTGCACCATTTTCAACTCCAGCAGGTTGCGGTCGACGGGTTGCTGGCCGTCTGCCCCCTGCAGCTCGGCCAGGGCCCCCCGCCGCTGGTGGAGGCAGTACGCCAGCGAGGTCAGGACGCCCACCGGGGCCCACACGCGCATGCTGAAGACGCCGGCGATCATGGTGGCAGCCCCTCCGCTGCCCTCTGACTTGCGGTTGCAGGAGGCGAACACAAGCACGAGGCTCAGCGGCCGCCCATAAATTCGCGTGAACTGGCAGGGGCGTACATCCAGCCCCCCCGACCAGCGGGGACCGCCGCGACTCCCGCCTTGAGGGAGAGCCTGAGTGGAACGTCGGGGCAGAAGCGGAGGTGGGAGCAGAAAAGACTCCCTGGGGCTTTTAACCAGGGTCGGCGTTGGTCGCTCCTGCTGCAGGCTTGGCCGGGGGGCGGGGGGGAGGGGAGGGAGCCCAGCTCCTTATCTTTCGCCCTCTAGGGAACCTTAAACTTGCATTTCAAGTTTGGTCTCCAGCACCCTTGAAGGGACAGGAACCAACCCTGAGCTCCTCGGCGGCAGCGGCTGCACTAGCATAGACGCCTTGCTTCCACTTTTCTATGAGCAAGATCCCACCCACCTCTTTACCCACCCAGGGAACTGTCCCAAGTGGACCCGCGCAGAGGAACACGGGAAAACGAGTCCTGCGGCGAACGCCTCGTCCGAAGGCCTGGAGTTGGGAGAACTACAACTCCCACAAAGCTGCGTGCACCGGGGCTCCCACGGGGTGGCTGCGCCCGCCCCTGGCAGCGGGCCTCACTTTTCAGGCTCCGCCGGTCTCCAGGCCTGGGGGCCCCTCGGACGTGTCTGGGCAGGCTGGGGAGTGGGCGTGACTCTGTCGGCCTGGGAGTTTGCCAGGCAGGGGTAGGGAGGAAACGCAACCATAGGGTTAGAATTGGGCGGTGGAGGAGCAATTAAGACTTCCTTCAAGTCCTGGAAACGTGGTGCAGAAGTTAAGAGCGGAGATACCTACTGGGTGATTGCTCTTTGCTAAGCACGGCCCTAGGTGCTTTTTTTTAAGTCTTCGTTTACTACCGTCCTCCTATGTTTAAAAAAAGTCTCAAGGCTAAATCGTCGCAGTCCTGTAGAACTCTGGATGTATTTACTTACATTCAGAACATTTGCTTTTGGAAAAATCCAGGCCTTGCCTGTGGGTATCCCAGTGACTAAGAACCTCAGTTTACACAGAAAAATGCCGTCTTACCACCTACTGATCTAGTTTCTGTTGAATATATAGCTATCCCAAGCTTGTGTTTCCAGTTCTCTGCTCTCTCTTCGGATCAAACTGGGCCAGATGTAAGGACAACATTCTTATGGAGCAGGTCTCCTGACCTGAGTCTAAATTCTGTTCACAAAGCTGGAAGGTTCTGAATGCTTGGGGGAGGGGGGGCGGGGGGGAGAAGTGAGTGATTTTGAAACACTACGTAGACATTGTCACAGTTTTCTTCCTGGCACAGCTCATGGAATCACTCTTCAGCCTCTTACTGGGTGTGCTGATGTGACTGAAGTTGTGTCCCCACCCAAAATTTATATGTTGAAACCCCAACACACAATGTGGCTGTATTTGGAGATAGGGCTTTTATGGCTAATTATGGTTAAATGAAGTCATAAGTGTAGGAGTCCTAATTCAATAGGATTGGTGGCTTTATAAGAAGAGGAAGAGGAATCTCTCTACAACCATGCAAAGGGTGTGAGCATACAAGAGGACAGACAGGCATCTGCAAGCCAGGAAGAGGGGCCTCACCAGAACCCAACCATGATCCTGATCTTGAACTTCCAGCTTCCAGAAATGTGAGAAAATAAATTTCCATTGTTTATGCCATCCAGTTGATGGCATTTTGTTATGGCAGCCCAAGCAGACTAAGACACTATTTTACTACAGTCTCAGTAAGGCACCAGGAACACCAGACACACTGCTTGGAACCAGTATAGTAAAATGCAACCCCAGCAGCTGGGGAGAGCAGTTCTCAACAGTTCAGTGATAACAATTCAGTTTCAGTGCAGAAGGGCCCTTCAGCAGCCTTGGTAGCCTTGGTAGTTTTAGTATTTCAGAACAGCTTCAAGGTGATGTAATGTTGGCATCTGGACAATGGACAAAGCAATCTTTTTTTTTTTTGAGTTGGAGTCTCACTCCTTTGCCCAGGCTGGGGTGCAGTGGCACGCACGCTCACGGCCCCAGCATCGACCTTCTGGGCTCCAGCGATCCATCCACCTCAGCCTTCCAAGTATTGGGAACTACAGACCCATACTACCACACCCGGCTATTTTTTATTTTATTGTAGAGATGAGATCTTGCTAAGTTGCCCGGGCTGGTCTTAAACCTGCAGGTTCAGGCAATCCACTTGCCTCAGCCTCCCAAAGTGCTGGGATTACAGGTTGAGCCACCGAGCCCAGCCTGGACAAAGCAATTTTATCCTCACCCTGCACTCTGGCAGCCTCAGCACAGACTTGGTAGTCATCGTGAGTAGCACATTTAATCTTTATGAAAAATACAATAATCTTGCCCTAGGCTCAGGTATTGCCAGGGGGAGGTGCAGGGAATGTCTTAACAGGATATCTCTGAAGGAATCCAGAGTGAGGATGGTTGGAAAATGACAGATTACACATGGTAGTTGAAAGCACTGTTTGTTAACACATGTTAGATAACCCTTGGGGAGTCCAATAAATATTTTTTGTCTGCTGTCTGGTAGTTGTGGTAGTGGTAGTGAGCTGCAGTTTAAAGAGGCTGGAAGTCTTGAAATCATACTCTGGGGACACACACAGGGTGAAGAGGTGGACGAGGGACACTGAGTGACTTTATTTTTGACCCTAGTTTTTTCACCAAGCAGGGATGGCTTAGGAAACAAGCCCTTCCCCACCAAATTGTTCTCAGAAGGTTGCATTTAATATTATGAAAAAACTTGGTTCTAATCATGAGATTAGATAAGGAAAAAACCACATTCACTGTTTCATCTCCAGTGGTAAGCACAGTGCCTTACTCCTAGTTAGTATTCCATAAATACTTGCTGAATGAAATGATGAGATATATCATAGAAGCGTTGTTGAGGACTTTGTTCATTACATCACTTATTGCTTCCTATTTAAATCTCCTAAGAAATTTGGTTTAGACAAAGTGTTAGCATTAGAACAAGCATTAAGAAGTATGAAGATACACATTCTCTTCATTTTTGCCTTGGTTGCCAGGAAGCTTGAAGCCTAATTTTATACTTAACTATTGCAACTATTTAGAATCTAATAGCCAGCATAACTGTGATCTTTCCCTCTGGAATACCACTCTGGTTTACAAGGGAGCAAAACTGGAGAAAGGACAGTTAGGAAGCTGTAACAGCAATCCAGGTATGAAGCATTTAGGAGGCAGTTAACAATAGAGAGTGAGAGGGAGGAAGGAATCAAGGATGAGTTCTAAATTTCTGGCTGGGGCAGCTTACAGACGATGCCATTCATCTGGGAAGGAGGTTAAGCAGAAATTAGCAAACTAACTTTGAATTTGTAGATGATTAGGTATTTGTGAGGCCTTTAAGTAGAAATGCCCTCTGGACAGTTTATGTGGGTTGGAGCTCAGAATAAGTTTGGACTAGTAATATATATGTGAGACTCCTCTGTATGGTTAATAATCGAAACAACAGGAGTGGATAAGATTCCCAGAGTGAATGGGTAGAGTAGAAGAGAAAAAAAGGGAGGCTAGGACAGAACTCTGAGGAACCCTATAATTTAAAGCAAGAGCAAGGAAAGAGAAACCTGAGAACAGTGAGAAGGAGTGGCAGAGAGTGAAAGAAAGTAAAGACTCAGGTATCAGGGAAGCCAAGAGAAGAAATACTTGAAGAAGAATAATGAAAAACAGTGTGAAATAGAACTAAGAAGTAAGGTAATATAAGGCCCGAGTGTCCCCTGGATTTAACAACAAAGTAATCTTTGTTACTTTAGTGAGAGCGATCTTAACAAAATAGGGAGCTGGAAATTAAATAGAAGTAGGGAGTGAGTGAGAAGTAAGTAAGTGCATATATCTTCAAGAAGTTTAGCTGAGAAGAGGTAAGTGCAGTAGCTGGAGGTGTTTGGTTTATGGAATTGGGGGAGAATTGTCTTTTGATAACGAGCAAAGCTTGTATATACATTTCAGTGTTGATAGAAATAAGGCCACAGCTAGGGAGAGAGATAGAATGGTAGATCCAGTGAAGTGCTTAGGATCATAGGAGAAGATAAAAAATAAACTTAGTTGTCATAATTAGCCTCGAAGGAGAAAGTATATATTTTTCATGTTGACAGGAGGGAGAAAAGAAAGAATAGGTGAGAATAAAGCACATTTATAGTGTGGAAATTTCTATTCTCTGACCTCAGTTTCTTGGGAAGGTGGTGATTGATGCTACTGACAATTGGAGGAATGTGGGGAAGTAAAATGCCCACCATATATGTGAGAGAGAAGGTAATGACTAGGTAGCCAGAGGCTTGCCAGGAACCATGGAGAGTCCAACAGAGAACAATTTTCTTCAACTTTGTGGTGTATCAGAATCATCTGGGTTATTTGTTAGAACTCAGATTTATGACATTCAGTATGTCTTTCTAGATGTGAATGGAGCTCAGGACTCTACAGTGTAAACAAGCACCCAGGTGTTTCTGATACAGGCGCTCTTGAACTCGGACTTTGAGAACTACTGAGAGTCAAGAAAATAGTTATTTCAGTATGGAGACTTGTTTATAAATGGGTGCTATGGATTGGATGTTTGTCTCCCTTAGCACTCATGCTGAAATTTGATCCTCAGCTTTGGGGGTGGAGCCTAATTGGAGGTGTCACGGGACAGATTCCTTCATGAATAATAGATTGATTCCCTCCCTCAGGGCTGAGTTCTCACTCTCTTAGTTCCCCAGGAGAGCTGGTTGTTAAAAAGAACCTGGCACCTCCCCTTCTCTTACTTCCTGTCTCACCATATGATCTCTGCTCCTACCGGCTCCACTTCATCTTCCAACATGAGTGGAAGCAGCCAGAGACAGTCACCTGAGGCAAATATCCAACCTTGAACTTCCCAGCCATCCAGAATCCTGAGCCAAATAAGGCTTTTTTCCTTTTTTTTTTTTTTTTTTTTTGGAGTTGGAGTCTCACTCTGTCGCCCAGACTGTAGTGCAGTGGCTGCTCCCGGCCACCATAGCCTCGACCTGCTGGGCTCCGGCTATCCTTCCACCTCAGCCTTCCACGTAGCTGGAACTACAGGCGCGCGCTACCACACCCGGCTGATTTTTGATTTATTGTAGAGATGAGGTCTCGCCAAGTTGCCCAGGGGGGTCTCGAACTGGCGGGCTCAGGCAATCCACTCACTTCAGCCTCCCAAAGGCGCGGGATTACAGGCTGAGCCACCAAACCCAGCTAACTTTTTTTCTTTATAAATACCTAGCTTCAGTTATTCCTTTATAGCAATGTAAAATGAACTCAGGCAAGGGGAGAAATTGCCAGTGGAGAGGAAACAAGACAAAGAGGAACAATTGATCAAAAAATCATAAGGAGTTGGGAGAAGGTGTGATGAAGAAATAAGGAAGACTCGGCCTTGGATGGGAGAAAGATTAGTTTTTTATTAAGGGCCATCTATTATGGTGGGAGAGAAGGAGTTGG